GACTAAAACTAAAGCACGCCAATGTGTGATTTCTTGTTTTGCAGATTTTACATACATGTTAAAGTATTCCATTTTAATTGCAGCATTTGCATGTAACTAACTTAATAAAATACTTTCGAGACATTTCTGTATCAATTGTATATTGCTGTTTACAGATTCTCTCTCTATCTTCGTAATTTATTTCAGGCCTTTTATCTTTTTTTCATTCGAGCGTCACTGATGAGTCTTTTGTAGACGAAACGCGCGTCTGGTGAGCAAAATTGTATCCAGGTACCTATATGTTGAGTTTATCTACTATATATTTTGATGATTTGAAGAGCAATAACTTCTGAAGGATCGAGTCGTTCAGTGAATTGGCCATTTTGGCATGTTTGTGGATCTTGTATTGCTGATTGTTTTTGGTGTTTACAGTTTCTACCTTCCTATAAAAGTTTCCAGGTTATTGGCAGAAAAAAACAAAATTCATCATTTAGGGACATAAGGGGACGACCATTTAATTCTGAGGTGGGCGCTTGGCAAATTTGATGAGGTCAGAATATTTATTTCCTACATAAAGGTGGCGTGTTTATGTATTTTCACTCAAACTAGGATACTTATTTTCTGCTCGTCCAAAAAGAGATGGGTTGTTGTCAGGCTCGGGGTAATATATTGATGAGGTTTAGATTTAGGGTAAGAGGTAGTTTAGCATAGCTTCATATGGATGAGGACCCCTAAAGGAAAAGAAGACCCAAAATAGTAGACCTAGAGCAGCGCGGCAATTTTTATACGACCGCAAAAAATTATTATTGGTTTTTACGGACGTCGCGACGACGTCGTCTGCGTCGTCCGAAGACATTTGGTTTCCGGACAATAACTTTAGTATATGTAAATAGAAATCTATGAAATTTAGACACAAGGTTTATAACCACAAAAGGAAGGTTGGGATTGATTTTGGGGGTTATAGTCCTAACAGTTTAGGAATAAGGGGCCAAAAAGGGGCCCAAATAATCTTTCTAGTTTCCAGACAATAACTTGTGGAAAGGTGTATGGGTCTCTCTGAAATTAGACCACAAGTTTCCATACCACAAAGGGATGGTTAGGATTGGCTTTGGGGGGTTATGGCTCAAACCGTTTAGGAATTAGGGACAAAAAGGGGGAAAAACAAGGGTTTCCTGGTTAATGGACAATTACTTAAAAGTACAATATTATGTTTGGATTACCTCCCTTACACTGCTTTTAAATTATGTATAAAGAAATGTTATCTTGTCTTGAGGTGTTTAGCTGTCAATTTATTTTTAGAAATTTCTGTTAAAAATGCTGATTAAGGAATATTAATTTTAGCCATGATTATGTATGTCATTTTCTATTTTAAGACTTTTATGATGTATTTAAATGGGTAATTATGGTTGCAAACTCCATTGGAAATTTGAATTGAGATTATGACCATATCTTGAGGAAAAGATTTATTTTTTGAAAAAGGGAGGGGGGGAGGTGAAAAATAATTTTGTGTGGGGGGTAAAAAAGAAATTATGGGGGGGGGGACAATTTGTTTCACATTTCAGATTTCAGAAATTACAAAGAAAATTTCTTCAAATATTTTTTTTTTACAAAAAAAAGGGGGGGGGTAAAAAAAAAATTTTGTGGGGGGGGGGGGTCAATTCGCAACAGCATAGTGTATTGCACAAAAGCAAAAAATTAAATACAAACTCAAATCATATAACCAATTCTAAGTTCTTTGACTACAGTTATTCTGTGTCAGAAACCTATTATGTGTCAAATATTTAATTACAATCCAAATTCAGAACTGTATCAAGCGCGAATATTGTGTCCATTTTTGCCCCAACTGTTCATGGTTGGACCTCTGCGGTCGTATCCAGCTGCTCTCGGCGAAGCAATTTAATTTTATGATTTTACGGTTTTTATGATATTTTTTTTCCAGTCAAGTGCAACTGTCGATCCTTCTATCATATACCTTTGTAAATAATTTTAGGCTTAAATAATTACTTTCATGTGCTATAAGGCAAGATTAAATCTTTCCGACTTAATGGAGAACAGAATATGTATTTCCAAAATCTTCAAGCCCCATCCCCATCAGAATCAAATGGTCATCCCATAACTCCTTATCGTGTCTTCCCATTGTTTTGATAATTAAGTTTTTTTGTAGATCTTGTCTATGGCTGATCGTTTTTGCTGTTTACAGTTTCAACCTATCCAACACATTTTTCATGAGAATTAGAGGAACACGAATTAAAAAAAAAACGTCATTTAAAAACACTAACTCTTTTGGGAGTTCTAATCGCTTCAATGATTTAGCTCTTTTGAAGATCTTGTTTTGCCTATTATTTGTACTCTTTTAAGTTTCTACCTATCTATAATAGTTTTCGAGATAGTAGGCATAAGCAATAAAATTAGTATACAATTGTCATTTAAGCGCAACAACCTTAAAGGAGTCATCTAAATTTTTTAGTCATTTTGGACATTTTGCAGATCTTGTATAGCTGATTATTTCAGCTTTCGCGCTTCATACAGAAAGTGCTTCGGTCAACGCTTTTTCATCCCAATAAAATTATAAAAAGAAGCATTTAATTCTTAATTATTTTTGTTGTTTACAGTTTGTACTTATCTGTTATAATTTTTGAGATAATTGAAAAAACTCATCAAAGATACCAGGCTTATAATTTTGTACGCCAGACGTACGTTTCGTTTACAAACGACTCAACAGTGACGTTAAAATCAGAAAAGTTAAGAAGACCAAATAATGTACGAAGTTGAAGAGATATTGTGGACCTAAAAACCCAAAAGATGTTGTCAAATATACAGGGAAGGTAATCTATTCCTGGGGTAGAAAAGCCTTAGTATTTCGAACAACTAAAAGTTTTGTAAACAGTTTATTTATTAACCCTAATTCACCATATCAATGATAATTCATGTCAACACATAACACACTGATACCCTCGGGGAGGAAACCTCCACCAGCAGGGGTATCGACCCAGAGGTTGGGAAATAAAACTAATTTTAAAGATACTGGCCTGATTATCGTTTTTACGCCAGTCGCGAGTTTCATCTACAAAAATCTCGCCAGTGACACTCAAATCAAAACAAATGAAGAAGGCCAGATATAGTCCGCAGTTGAGAGCATTTAGAAAGAAATTGCTAATTACAGCTGATAATCTATTCCTAGGGTTAGACAATCCTTAGTATTTCGAAAAATTCAACGTTATGTAAACAGAATTCATGTCAGCACTTAGGTGTTGACTTCTGGGCTGGTGATACCCTCGGGCCGGAACCTCAACAAGCAGTGGCACCGACCAAGTGGTTGAAAAAAACTCATCAAAGAAACCAGGCTTATAATTTTGTACGCCAGTTATTAGCCAAAAATTGTCTTTTACGAGCTCTTACTACTTATTAAGAATCGCACAATGGTTTCGTATTAACCTTTTTGTGGAACTTGAAAGGCTGATTATTTTTGCTTGTTAAAGTTTAACCTTTCTGTCAAAGTATTCGAGATAATAGACACAAACATGAAATTAACTTTAGTAGTAAAAAATGTCATTGTAAGGACATCAACTCCTTAAGGAGCCATCTGCTAATTATGGTGAAAACAATAACCAAGTAGACCTTGAAAATTCAAGAGGGACACATTAATAAGTAAAAACCCGTCGTTTAACGGCATTAACTACAACCAATGGTTTCGGTTGTTTGGTATTTTTGTATAGATCTTGCATTACTGATAATTTTTCCTGTAAACAGTTAAGTCTAACTATCTCTTGAGCGTTCTTGATGAAGGTACATTCAGAAAAGCGCTCAGAATAAAGTAAACATTCAACTAATATTTTAACCATGTCGTAAAGTTTTGCCAAGATGCTTTTTTTTTGTTAATCGCGAAAATAAACCGATTTCAAGATATCCTTAAATTGAATTGTGGAGATCCTGAAATAATTTTGGACCTCCATAAATATTTAACGATATCATGAATTAAATTGTGGAGGTACTGAATATATCATTATAGAGAGCTCTATATACATTAAGGATATCCTGAAATATTTACGGACCTCCTGAAATATGTAAGGACCCCCTGAATTAAAGCTTTTTTGATCGATTATTGGATTGTGGAGGTCCTGAAATATTTCAGTAATTCTTGAAATCTAATTATAGAGTTTCTGAAATATTTCAGGAGGTCCTTAATGATTTATGGATATCCTGAATTCGAATTACGAAGGTCTTGAAATGTTTCAGGAGCTTCTTAAATACAATAACTTTAACTAAAACAGCGCCTCATAATATTTTGCTATAAATGAAATCACAATGTATCGCGACTTTTATTAAACATCGGATATAAATCATATAAAAGTAAATTTGAATCATTTGGACGATTTTCGAATGCATGTGGCATTTTTTTGTCAAACGGTACATTTAATTTCTTTCATATTGCATTCGTATTCGATTTTGACAAGAAACAGCAGATTGACCAAAGCACCAATGGTTTTATACCTTAAAATTTGACAAAACAAACAGAGCTGTTTGATAGATGAACTACTACATACGATGCCAGGATGCAATGATTTGACTGTGACGCTTTCAGTTATGTTTGCAAAAAGATATAAGCAGGATCTAATCTTTAACGATTATCAAAAAGCGGAACCTGTTCTTTCACGATCAGTAATATGAAATTAATATTTTTGATCGTGACTGATTTCTCTCAGATAATCATAGTGCTAAAGCATATTTGCAAACATCTTTATTGTTTCAATATTTGTCATTATTATCCAGTAAAAATTGGATTGAAAACTGACCACGGATGTGTCTTCTCGAAACAATGTCTTTCACGATTGACCGCTAAACCTGACCACCGTTTCTTATTTTTAACCATTATTCCGAGTTGAATCCGATTGCGTGCCCGATATGCATATAACTGTTTATCGACATATAGAATTACATTGATGTAACACGCAAACCAATCATCATGAAATAATTTTACCTTACATATTTGCAATTCGATTTTGTCATTTTCAACACCAAACACGGTATTGATAAATATCCAGCCATAAATTTGAAATCTTTTCAACTTTCTGGACATTTTGCCACCAAGATGCTGGATTGGCAATTATTTACTGTGGTGTCCGTGTTTTCTGTGTTAACTGCTATTTGTCCCTGTGAGTCAGAGAAGTTCGATGATTTGATAGAACAGAATTTAAAGAATTTGAAAAAAAATCTACTATTGCATAAACAACAGGGGAATTCTAAAAACTATACAGATTCCTCTTACACTGGTAATATGAAAAGATGTATCGATTAATAAAACAATTGAAAGATTTAGTATATATGTTTGCTTATATCATATTTTTGTATTTTTCCAGGTGCATCGTCAGAGACGTATGTCCGATGGGGTAGAACTAGTTGTCCTGGTGGTGCATCACTTGTTTACGACGGTAAGGATAAATTTATTATTAAAACTACTGTCACGCGCTAAACAGCTCCGATTAAAGTACATGCCAAAGTTCAGTAATTTTGACTTCAAATTGTTATTTCTGAACCTTATTCTATGATTTTATTGAAAAAATTATATGCAATTGGCTCTGACAATTCCGTTTATTGATACAACTTTCGAAGAGTTTTCACCAAATTTAGTTTTTTCAATAGTCGAATTATCTATCCTAACAACGTAATTTTCAGTGGTAATAATTTTAACATGCAATTTTAACTGTAAAATTGAGAATGGAAATGGGGAATATGTCAAAGAGACAACAACCCGACCAAAGAGCAGACAACAGCCGAAGGCCACCAATGGGTCTTCAACGCAGCTTATTCAGAAGACTTCGCCCTTCCACAAACCAATTGCTAAAAAAGTCAAACCCAATTGCAGTTTTAATTCACCTCGACAAACTGATAACTTCAGTAATTACAAACTTTTTGACCACTCCTTATAAGAGTTATTGCCCTTGAATAACGATTTGCTTTAAATTTTTCTTGCCAGACAGACTGAACATGATGAAAATATCGACGGTTAATGAAAGTTACATACATAAATACTTTATATAGATATAAGAAGATGTGGTATGAGTACCAATGAGACAACTCTCCATCCAAGTCACAATTTATAAAAGTAAACCAGTATAGGTCAAAGTACGGTCTTCAACACGGAGCCTTGTATATGTAAACAATACATATGTCTTATTCTAGGGCTTTCTTGAAGGAAGGTTTCCAATATAACTATATTTCAAAATTCATACTTTTATTTAAGGTTATGCTGCAGGAAATGCATTTAACAAGAGAGGATCGGGAACAAATTTCTTGTGTTTACCTCGAAACCCTGAATTCAAAAAGTATACAAGTGGAATGGATCTTTACAGTGGTCGAATTTTCGGTGTTGAATATGAGATAAGCAAGGACAAACCCTATCCTAGGAGATTTCATAACCAAGATATGCCTTGTGCAGTTTGTCTGACAAGAAAACGATCAACAGTTCTTATGGTTCCCGGGAAAATAAATTGTCATAGTGGATGGCACAAGGAATTTTCTGGATATTTAATGTCAGAATATACAACTAATCAGTGGTCTCAGTCTGAATATATTTGTGTGGATGAATCGTTGGAGTCACTTCCTGGAGGAAGTGCTAATACAAACCATGCGGTTGTTTACCCTGTTGAACCTGTATGTGGTAGTCTGAAATGTCCTCCATATGAGAACGGAAAAGAACTAACTTGTGTTGTCTGCTCGATTTAGAATCATTTCCAAAGCCAAATATAACATGCAAAGTCTTGTCATTACAGTTTATTTTGTACCTTATTGGTTCCACTTAATTTAATTCGCACATTCAAGCGGTTTTTATCAGTTTACAATATCAATAAAATCTAAAAACCATGTGGTTTTCAAGCTTAAAAATATCGATCATTACAAAAAGATGTTAATGGTATGAAGCAGTGACAGTGTTATATATATATATATATATATATATATATATATATGCAGAAATATTTCTGTCATCCGATTTCTATGATTGATTCTGTTTACAAATTGTTTTAAAAAACCAAACCCCTAGTTATTGGGCATGTTTGGTATATTTACTCCACATTCAGGTACTACCGAAATGTTACCACATGTTAAAATTGTAGTGTTTTTGCTGGCAGTTTCTAAATTCAAGATTTGACGCAGACAATGTAGCATCCTTTAAAAGCAATCAACATAATCACCAATTTTGAATTATTTGGTGAGAAGACATCACCTACATGTAAATAACAGAGCATGAAGTTAATGTATAATTTTTCATTAGAAACTATTGTCTGCCTCATATGACTAACTGTTCTTTGTTTAACGTTCCTGTCTCGATTTGGATTAAGACAACAGAAAAGAATATATGATAAGACCACATTTTAGCCCCTGAATTAAAAATCCAAAACTCTTTATAAGTCTGCCAAATTACATACTTCAGATGTTCATAACCTGAAGAGTATAGACTGTAATTCATTAGTATTTATATTTTTGAATTTTGTCTTCAATATTAGCATTAGAGCTTCAACCATCTTTTATTGTGTGACAAACCGCAAAAAATGCCAAACTAGTCTCGTTTTGAGATCATGTCATCAATATTTAGATATGAATCAAGGATTTACCCAAACTATATTAAGCTATATTGCTCCAAACATGTCTATACAGACGACAGTATTAATGATATTAGTTGAGCAGCAACCATCAAACTATCTTCAATAGTCTAAAGCTGAGTGTAGCACAATACGACCGCAGCTAATCAAGATGGGTATATATATTAAAAAGGATCTATCTTATTACTTGAATGGTCTTAGATCTGATTGATTGATTGATTGATTGTTGCTTGCTTGCTTAACATCCAGTGGCAACTATGCTATGCATATTCAAGACGAAATAAAATTAATAATTTCTGCAAGATGTAGGTTCTGGAAGTTAATCGACCGGGTTGATGAGCGGGAAATATGGACGGCAACTTCAAAAGGAGGGTATCTGTTGTGCAGGAATTTACCCATGCAATAGGTCACATACGGACCCATCACATAGTTGTTGTAATTACCCTACAACACGGGTCATAACACGGGTTGCGAATTGCCCCCCCCCAAAAAAAAAAAACAAAAATGTACCCCCTTTTTTTTTTGCTTTCGTGCAATACACTATGCTGTTGCAAATTGACCCCCCCCCCCAAAAAAAAAAAAAAATCACCCCCTTTTTTTTTGGCAAAAAATTTTTTTTCACCCCCACCCCTTTTTTTTGGCAAGAAAAACAAAATATATTAAGAAATTTTCTTTTTAATTTCTGAAATCTGTAAGGAGAAAAAAAAATTGTCCCCCCCACAATTTCTTTTATACCCCCCCCCCCCCCAAATTTGTTTTCACCTCCCCTCCCCCTCCCCTTTTTCCAAAAAAAAATCTTTCCCTCAAGATATGGTCATTATCTCAATTCAAATTTCCAATGGAGTTTGCAACCATAATTATCCATTTAAATACATCATAAAAGTTTTAAAATAGAAAATGACATATATAATCATGTCTAAAAATAATATATCTTTAATCAGCATTTTTATTAGTAACTTCTAAAAATAAATTGACAGCTAATCACCTCAAGACAATACAAAATTTCTTTATACATAATTTTAAAGCAGTGTAAGGGAGGTAATCCAAATTTAGCATTGTACTTAAAAGTGATTGTCCATTAACAAGGAAACCCTTGTTTTTCCCCTTTTTTGCCCCTAATTCCTAAACGGTTTGAGCCATTACCCCCCAAAGCCAATCCTAAACATCCCTTTGTGGTATGGAAACTTGTTGTACAATTTCAGAGAGATCCATACACCGTTACACAAGTTATTGTCTGAAAACTAGAAAAATGCTTATTTGGACCCTTTTTTTGGCCCCTAATTCCTAAACTGTTAGGACCATAGCCCCCAAAATCAATCCCAACCTTCCTTTTGTGGTTATAAACCTTGTGTTTAAATTTCATAGATTTCTATTTACTAATACTAAAGTTATTGTCCGGAAACCAAGTGTCTTGGGACGACGACGCTGACGACGACGTGATACCAATATACGACCACAAAAATTTTTTGCGGTCGTATAAAAATAGATCGAAACATTTCAATCAAGTCGTCGAAACAGATGAAATAAGTGAAGCTCTTTCACAGCAGTATGGTAACAAATTACCACAGAGTTTTTTTTAATGTTGAAGAAAAACAACTATTTGTTTTTTTTTCTTTACAGACGATCAGTAGTAATAATCTAAGTTAAGCAATCAATGACATCCGATAACCATTAACCTTACGTCAATACCAGTTGAAGGAAAGGGCTAAAGCTAGTTGCAGCACAATACGACCGCAGATAGTCAACATGGGTGTATATATATATATATATATATATATATATATATATATATATATATATATATAAAAGTCTAAATTGAAAACAACGTTCAAACCTATGATTGCGTTGGATAAAAACCGCAATTTTTATACGTGTGCATGTAAAACAAATTTCTTGGTAGAGGGGCCTAAATACAGCACAAACAACAATTTCCAAAAGACCAAAAAAGTGAAAAAGTCTATTTTAACAAAACGCATTTGACTGACAGGTCGAACAACTGATGTTCTTAAACCCTGCTGACTGCCATTGGCGATTGCCAAATAAATTGATCACCAGATCTAACAAAATAGATCTTAATATTAATTTAATACCAAACAGAAAACAATAAACTTGTGGAAAAGATGGTATACCACAAACATGAGGTGCAAAAATTTGTACACCATATCCGGATTTCGACAATTAATGTCTCTTCAGTGATGTTAGGGATCGAAACGGTATTTGGAAGGCCATATAATTTACCTCAATTTAGGAAAGACTTGAATTTTAAAGAGCCGAAATAGGATGAACGGATCATATAAACCCGAAGGAAAATATAATACAAGCCCAAACGAAAAAATATATAAAAGTCTAAATTGAAAACAACGTTCAAACCTATGATTGCGTGGGATAAAAACCGCAATTTTTATACGTGTGCATGTAAAACAAATTTCTTGGTAGAGGGGCCTAAATACGGCACAAACAACAATTTCCAAAAGACCAAAAAAGTGAAAAAGTCTATTTTAACAAAACGCATTTGACTAACAGGTCGAACAACTGATATATATATATTACCAAAGAACTATCTTGTTACTTGAATGGTCCCATATTTGATTGATTGATTGATTGTTGCTCGCTAAACGTCCAGTGGGAAATATGCTATGCATATTCAAGACGAAAACATATAAATAATTGCTTCAATATGTAGATTCTGCAGGTTAGTCGACCGAGATGAGTGGAAAATATTGACAACCATTTGAATATGAGGGCATGTTTGATAGGGGCAAAAATGTACCCTGACAGAGGTCAGATACGGACCCACCAGAGAGTTGTTGCAATGGTTCTTTGACACTGACCCTGCAAAACGGGGCATAGGATTTATTGTCCCCATCCCATAAAGACGTCCCAGATGTGATGCTATATAAAAGTTAAATGTATTTGTGTTTATTTGATTTTGGTGTTTATATACTCATATAGTCATCCGTTAACTTTTACAAAAATCTTCTATGAAAATTGCTGGGCCAATTGGAACAAAACATAAAACTGGAAAAACTTTATAGATAGAGAAAATCTGGCAGTAGTTTGGTAAAAATTAACCATGGAGTTAGGTCAATTTTGAATGGTCTATCATTAGAGAGTGAAACACTTTGGCAACACTTGGTTACACTTTGAAACATCTTTTGAGGGGGCGGGACATATGTTTTTTTTTACAGGAGAAACATTTTTTTATAAACAGTAATGAGAAAAACAAACTATTTGTTCGATTATATACAGGAACAAGACATTTTTTCTTACTAATTTTCAATATAAAACCTTTTCCACTTCCCTTCTAAAACATTTTTTTCCCTCAAGACATTAGAATCAAAGTTTATTTTTAAAAAGTATGCCATCAACAAAAGGTGACTGGTTTGTACCTTACAGTCAGATGACTGTAAAACATTATTTTTGAACTATATCAAAATGTAAAACTGGGTCTTGATGTCTTCAAAAGTTTCTCATCCTACAATTAATCGTTTGAAACCAACAATTTTGCAAAGATAAATAAAACAACACAATTTTACAATTGCAGACTGGCAAACGAACTAAATATTTTTTCATCAATATCCAGTGTATGCAAGAGATAGACAAATGTATTCAAACAATACTTATGTCTTATTCTAAAGCTATTTTAAAGGAAGGTTTTCAATATATCTATATCTATTTTTAATTAATACTTTAACAAAGGTTATGCTGCAGGACATGCATGTGACAGGAAAGGTTCAAGAGAAGTGCCAATACAAACCATGCAGTTGTGTGTCCTGTTAAACATGTATTTGGTAGTCTAAAAAAGAACTTACTTGTGTTGTCTGTTCAATTTAAAATTTCAAAAGCCAAATAAAACATGTAAAGTTTTGTCATTGCAAAGTTGATCTCTTACTTTATAGATTTGACTTAATTTAATTTGCACATTCTAGGTTCGGCTAGCTATAAAACCAGGTTTAACCCACCATTTTCTTCGAAAAAATACCTATACAAAGTCAGGAATATGACGGTTGTTTCCCTTCGTTTTGTTGGTTGATACAGTCTAAGTTCGATTTTGTCAACTTCTATGGACTTCTCCCGTTTTAGCTCACCTGGCCCGAAGGGCCAAGTGAGCTTTTCTCATCACTTGGCGTCCGTCGTCCGTCGTCGTCGTTAACTTTTTACATTTT